AACTAGGAAACAATGTACCTACTCTTACTAGAACATTAGAGACTAGGAAACACTGTACCTACTCTTACTAGAACATTAGAAACTAGGAAACAATGTACCTACTCTTACTAGAACAATAGAGAAACTAGGAAACACTGTACCTACTCTTACTAGAACATTAGAGACTAGGAAACACTGTACCTACTCTTACTAGAACATTAGAGACTAGGAAACACTGTACCTACTCTTACTAGAACATTAGAGACTAGGAAACACTGTACCTCCACTTTTAATCAAGATTTCCAAGACATCATCAACAGCTTGGCTTTTGACAGGTTTTGATCTCTGTTGGTTAGAAGTTGTCAGATAAAACTGCAAGATAAAAAAACCTTCTTTCCTATTTTGCCAAACCACAAATGCAGACTGAGGTAATTTACATCACATATCATAAGGAACAAGTCTATTCTAGATTAACTTACCAGAAAAACTAATAAAACTCAATTTCACAGTAAATTAAATTATGCAAAACTTTCAAATTATAACTGTAGGTTAAGGTAAAAATTAGAAATCATGTCACAACCTGAGCCTGAATTAAACTGTTCAAACTTCCAACCTGATATATAAATTAGAGTTCACTTCACAAACCATAATTATATACTAAATTAAGTTAGACCACATTCCCATAAACCACAACTGTAGACTTAGGTGAAAATTAGGACTTGTTTCACAAACCATGAACATAGAATAAATCAGACCAGATTTCCCAAAACACAACTGTAATCTGAGGTAATTAATACAAAAGCTAAAAAAACACAACAGTAAAATAAAGAAAAAAAACCTGTTTATGATGAACCAGTTGTTTGGCAGCTTCATTATGATCTGGTACAGGTACAGTCATGAAAAACTGAGGTTCTGTACTCATTTTGCTGGGGCTTTTTTGTACAATGTTCAACATTGAATTAAAGTTTGGAAGGGATGTAGTCCTAAAACAGGATGAAAATATGAGCAAGTAATTTGAAGATGAGGTGTAGTTTTAAAGTCAGAACTATCAGAAGCAAAGTATTTTATAAAAATTAGGTATTAGTTAGTGTGAACTTAGAAATAATGCCAGAGTAACTCTGATAATGAATACTTTGAAATGTTAATAGAATCACGTACATTCTTATCTGGAATAAAAAATAAAAGTATGGAAAATATGGCACTTAAATCATCAAAAAATGTGTTAAAAATTATAAAGTTACTTTTCTTTCAGATTACCATGTATCTATGGTAAATATTTAGGATAGTAATAAAATAATGACAATAAATATATCCAATTTTAGATAAATATGTGAATAAAAACTTCTTTTCAGTGGAATTTTACATTTTTAAAAATCTTAAACACTATTAAGAACTGGAGAAACTAAACGAGAGAACATCAACTCACTTTTGGTGACCTATGCCATTAGGAACAGAATTAGCCTGATGTTTGTTAACTGATGAAATGGTAGGACTCATATCACTGGTTTGACAGAAAATGACAGGAGTGATTCCTGGGAATGAATTTATTGGTTCGGTAGCAGTGGCCGTGTGAGAAGAAGCAAGTTGACTGCTCATGACTGTGGCCGTGGGAGATGAAGGATGAATTGGATCACTTGTAACAATTGGATGGCAGGGTTGAAGAAATCTTCCAAAGTTGGTTTCCACCAAACTGTTTGTGGGAGGAATGTTTGGACAACTTGATACAACTGGAATAAGAAAAAACATAAGACTTGTTTTTAATGTACAAATTTACGATTATTTGACAGGTTGTAATGATAAATCCATCATTATATAAAGTTAGCACTTCTGTTGAAGTAGAGCTGAACAAAGCACACACAAACAAAGAGCTACCGCACCTTAAGTAAAGTATGTTATCTTTCTCACCAGTCCTCTGATTAAGTAAAGTATGTTATCTTTCTCACCAGTCCTCTGATTAAGTAAAGTATGTTATCTTTCTCACCAGTCCTCTGATTAAGTAAAGTATGTTATCTTTATCACCAGTCCTCTAATTAAGCAAAGTATGTTATCTTTATCACCAGTCCTCTAATTAAGCAAAGTATGTTATCTTTATCACCAGTCCTCCAATTAAGTAAAGTATGTTATCTTTCTCACTAGTCCTACGATTTTCTTACAAGCTTTTCTATAAATAAGTGTATGTTGTTAAACCAGACTTAACTAAATTTTTCTGTGATTCAAAGATTACTCACAACATGCTGAGAAACAACAACTTGATATTTACAGGAGATAAGCATATAATTAACTGTAACAAGACACTCGTACGTTTCACAATTTAACAGCTGAAGTCCACTTCTTCCAGGAAATAACAAAGGTTACCATCAAAAAATAATCCAAACTCCAGCTACATGTACCCTTAATTAAAAAATAATCAAAACAAGTAATAAAAACACACTACAGATAAAAAAAAAAGAATATCTAAATAGGGCTGTGTTTGAAAGTACATTTGTTAGCCAGGAATTCAAAGATAGTTCTAGTCATTTGAAGGTTCATCAGGCAGCATCATTCAAACAGTATTAGGTGTTTTTTTTCTTGTTAACGGAAAATGTTTGACAATATCGAGATAGTAATCACACAGAAAATTTTATCTTTTGGTTTGTATAAAGCCTATTAAATAAACATAATTTGCTGCATTAAAAAAACACCAGAACGTTATTTCATAGTATCTCCTTCTGTACTATTATGGTACAGCAAGTGGGCAGGAGTTACATTTAAAGGCTACACTGCTTCATTAAATTGTACACAAGACAAAAAGAAGGTTTGTGTTTATTTTTCAACTGTTCTGCTTCACTGTTTAGTGATAATCCTTTCTATTATTATTTCTTAATTTGGCTGATGCCTTTATCCAAAGCATATATTTAATTAATTACCAAAAAAAAGTGATAATAACACTGTTTTGTAACCTTTTGTTGTACTCGAAGGTCCGTATTTATTTTCTATTTGAATTGTTAGTGTGATTCTGTTCAGCTTTAGTTATTACTATTTTTATTATGCATATTTAATTAATCAACGTTTTTTTTTTAAAAAAGACTATGACTATTAACTTGTTTGGAATGGTGACTGTTAAGTTGAGATACGTTTGGCTTAAGTCAGCTGCAGTTCTTTTAATTGGCTGAAACCCGGATTCTCGTTGTAAGTCCGAAGACATACTGCTGCGCCACTGGGGGGGCTAACTTGTTTGGAATGGTGACTGTTCAGTTGAGATACGTTTGGCTTAAGTCAGCTGCAGTTCTTTTAATTGGCTGCAAGAGGGTGCTCTTGCAATGTAAGCTTACTGTATGTAGATATACAAGTATTGCACAAAGCATCAAATACATATATATATATGTACAAGGTGCATTTTTAGTTTTATTTAAAATATAAAAACATGATTACTGTTCTACAACATATTTTTAAACTACATGTGAATGTTTTATTTCATTTCTATGGCTTACATGTAAAATAATAGGTTTCCAGTCAAATATAAACTAGTAGTTATAGCAACGTTATTTGTAAATTATCCAATTAGTACTCTCAAGGCTTCGAACATTAATTTGTTGAAGTGTTCTTGAGCCTTTGAAAGCCATAATCTCCCCATCCCTTATTTATTATCTTCAAGATATAAACAGTGTCAATAATTACTTTCAGTTATGCACTTCTTGTATCCATAAGTAACAACCTGATAATTCAAACCTACCTTGTTGGTGATGAAGATGTAACAATTGATGTTGGTTCAGCTTTAGATCTTGGGAGTTTCCTGGAACTGATGCAGACATTGTGGTAACAGCTACAGATGGGAGTGTTGAATTGGTTATTGGAATGGCTACAGCAGCAGTTACTGTAGGCTGAATAGCTTGTTGTTGGTGTTGCATCATGGTCTGTTGTTGCTGCAGCTGGAGTTTAGATCTAAAACAAACACTATATAACACTTACACATGTATCTAATTTGGATTTCCTATTATGAGAGCATTTTAAAAAGTTTAGAGGTTTCTTTACATAATGCCATATGCAGACTGTACATCTGTGAATATTTAGCTCCAGAAAAGAAACTTTTTTTTATACTTGAAGTTGCTCTGAAAAAGTATATTTAAGTGAAATTTTCACACTAAAATCACAACAAAAACAAATAATGTGAAATGCAACAAACATCTCTACCAAGTTAAAAATTAACTTATTGCTCATCAAGTGTAAAACATCACTAAAAACAACAAACAAATTTACCTTTGCAATTCTAAGTATAATTCTTGAATTCTTCTTTGCTGCATTTTAACAATATCTACATCAGCCATCTGGTTTGTTCCATCTGGTGTAGAGTTATCATCTATATCCATTGGCACAACTGAAGCAGGGCGTGGTTCTGTCGCCTGCTCTACACCAGTTGAAGTATTGTAGAGAGTTTCAGGACTTGATAAGACTGACATAGATGAAGTAGTATCCATAGCAACAACAGATGAAACTGAAGACAGCTGACTGTCAGCAACAGTTTGTTGTGGAATGCTGGGAAGGGTGTCTAGAATTATACCTCCAACACCAATGGGCATACAAGGGACACTGTTACTTCTAGTGGTTGAAACCTCTGTTGAACCAGATGTTGTTATCTGGTTGCTTCCTTCAAGATATGTCTTCAGTCGTTCTATAAGGTGGGGCTTAGCCCCTGAAACTGGGAGGTTCCTCTTCTTCAGCTCTGCCTTCAGATCACTCACTGGTTTATATAAGAAATGATTAATGTTTGTTACACTATTTTACATGGATGTTTTTTTCCTATATAATACACTTGTCACTCTACTTTACAAATCTTACTGTATTTCAAACATTTAACTAGCAAGTTTGTCCCCATGAAACTGAATCTTCCATACTTTTAATATTAGATGTCAACACGTTTCACATATGAAACTGCTTTATTGTAAAAATATTTTTTATAGGACTAAATTATCCACACTTACACTAGCCATCAACATGTTTAACATGCGATAAGTGTTTTATTACATTTGTTTTTCACAGAGCCAAATCATCCACACTTAAACTAGCCATCAACATGTTTAAGATTTGATAAGTGTTTTATTATATTTAATTTGTTTTGCATAGAGCCAAACTATCCATACTTACACTAGCCATCAACATGTATATTTTTATGTTAGTTGATTCTCTATCTATTTACAAACTCACATTCTGTCACGAGGCTTAGAATAAGGTTATATTCTTCATCAGTACCTACCTTTCATGTCCTCTAGTTTATTCAGTGGTCGTTGAGATATAGGATTAATTTCTTGATTGGGAGTATGCATATTTTGTCCAGACATATACATATGGCCAGTGGTCATGAACTGACCATGATCCTCAGAGAGATTCTGGTTATTGCAAAAAGAAAATCTTTATTTATTAAGGAATACAATAATAAAACTTCCCATACATATATAAACACACACACACACACAGATAGAGAGAGAGAAAGAAAGAGGTTATATGTGGAGTAGAAAAACTCTTACTTACAAACACTATAAGAACAGTTTCTGAATGATATAAACAATACCTCTTACAAGACAAGACTACTTATGAAGGATCTCTCATAAAAGATATCTCTGAACAAACACAAGAGAAAGAATGGTATCTAAGGACACTTCTTTAAATGTGACATAAAGAGAAGTATGACCTACAATGTATAAAGCTATCTACACAGGTGAAAGATACCTGAATGTATTACCATTAGTAACAAAAAACAATTATCACATACAAGTAACTACCTAAACATGAGAATAGTATCTGAAGGTATTACTGTTGAACATCAAACAATGAGAAAAAAGTATCATATATATATAATATGTGAAACACAAGCGGAGGAAAAGAAAGTATGATTTTAGATACTTTTATTGAGTCAACGTTAACGTGATAGAAGTATCAGCTATTGATATAATACGACACTACCTGGGGAGAAGAAAGTATGATTTTAGATACTTTTATTGAGTCAAGATAGAAGTAAGATCTACTGATATAATACGACACTACCTGGGGAGAAGAAAGTATGATTTTAGATACTTTTATTGAGTCACGTTAACGTGATAGAAGTATCAGCTATTGATATAATAGGACACTACCTGGGGAGAAGAAAGTATGATTTTAGATACTTTTATTGAGTCAAGTTAAACGTGATAGAAGTATCAGCTATTGATATAATAGGACACTACCTGGGGAGAAGAAAGTATGATTTTAGATACTTTTATTGAGTCAAGTTAACGTGATAGAAGTATCAGCTATTGATATAATAGGACACTACCTGGGGAGAAGAAAGTATGATTTTAGATACTTTTATTGAGT